ATACATACATACATATATATATATATATATATATATGTGTGTGTGTGTGTGTGTGTGTGTGTGTGTGTGTGTGCATATAAAGCAACATGTACCTACCCCGTGAACCTTGGGGGCCGTCAAATGAAGCAAGTACGGGCAGTAGTCCATAACCAGATCAGTCTGTGTGGTGCTCATGAGCTTGTGCGCTTTCATTTCTTTCAGCAGAGCTAAACTGTTGCCCAGTGTGTTCTGCATGAAAGTGTGGTGTTGCAAAGGATTGGAATGTATCATACAGAACCAATGAAACATATAGCCCCAGCTGAACATTTCTAAGGAAATGTACTAACAGCTAATTAATGGGACAACTATGTCCAATTATTGTAGAAAAGGTTCCCAGTTAAAATCGGTCTGTCCACATAAACGTTGGTCTCCGGAGTTCGATATGGTGACAGGAACGTAAACGTATTATGCAGTACGGTTGCTCCAATATAAGAACGATAAATTCATATATGAGTACAATAGAAGTGCTCAGTTGGGGCAATACGTTTGCCCACCCAAGCACACCCATGGACGCACAAACAAGTACAATGCGCTTCTGCATAAACCAGAACCAGCGCGCACGTATCTGAGGAACAAAGATACTAAACATGTGCGAATTGCTTCGCTAAACGGATTTAGAGGAATAAGACTCATGCTCGTGAGAAGTGTTCTTCAGAGAAACATAACTGATGCACGTGAGCGAGAGTTGCTTCAAGTACCTTGTGCTCGGTATTGGGCAGATCGTACTTCGGGATTTCATTGTAGCCAGCAATGTTATTGTAATAGCCTGAGAATAGAAAGCAAAAGTAATTAGGGGATGATAAGATGAGGAATAACGGGATGATAATTGTAGTAACGGGATGGTAGATTGAGTAAACAAACAATGATATTGTAATAGCTTAGGTGATAGGAAGCGAAAGTATTAACGGGATGGTAGATTGAAATATCGGGATAATAGATTGGGAAGAGAAAACAATGATACTGTAGTATCCTCCAAAATGGAACGCGTAGTTGAGATTATAGGTATCACATGAGAGGTGTAGTCAGTAATAGCAGTGCGATAGCCCTGGACCCTAAACCCTACAACCCTAATCCACTGAGCCACTGTGACGTTGACACTCAACTCTTTGGCTTTTAGTTCTGGGTGGTAGAAGGCGTCTGATAGGTATGGGATGCCAAACGTGTCCCACGATACATAGCAACTATGGACACGCTTAGTAATCATATAAACAACTAATACGTAGCAACCATATACACGCATCACAACCATAATAACAACTTACTAATACATAGCAACCATATACCCGCATTGCAACCATATAAACAACACATTAATACATAGCAACCATATACACAACATACTAATACATATCAACCATATAACCAACATACAATTTGATAGAAACCATATACACAATATATTAGTAGTTCTGTGAGAGTAGTATGGTCGTCTTAGCATGTCACACATTACCACACACTACATATCGAACATACACACATTAGATAGAAAACATACACACGTTGCAACATACAGAATATTCGACAGACACA